TGATCATCCTAGTAGGTATGATTAGTATCTTATTGTAGTTTTGATTTTTATTTCTCTAATGGCTAACGATGTTGAACATTTTTTTCATGTGCTTATTGGCTACTTGTACATCTTCACTGGAGAAATGCCTCTTCAAGAACTTTGCCCACTTTTCAGTCTGGTGCTCTCCCACCTGAGCTATTTTGGCCACTTTGCCCATTTTTGAATCAGGTTTCTTTATTGTTGAGTTGTAGGTGTTCTTACATATTATGAATACTTGATCCTTACCAGCTCTGATTTGCAAATATTTTCTTCCATTCTATCATTGTCTTTTCACTTTCTTGATAATGTATTTGGCACAAAAGTTTTAAACGTTGAAGTCCAATTTATTCCTTTGTTGCTTATTCTTTTGATGTCAGATGAACATCTCTTGCCAGTTTCAAAGTCATGAAGATTTACCCCTGTGTTTACCTCTAAGAGTTTTATGGTTTAAACTCTTAAATTGAAGTCTTTGATCCATTTTGAGATTAATTTTTGTATGTGATGTGAAGCAAGGATTCAGCTTCATTCCTTGGTACATGAATATTCAGTTGTCTCAGCACAATTTGTTCAAAGACCATTAGTCTTTTTAGTAATGGTCTTTCAACAAATTCTTTCGCTGTTGACTGGCTTTGGCCTACTTGTTGAATATCAGTTGAGCATAAGTGTGAGATTTTATTTCTGAACTCTTGGTTCCATTGTGTTGGTATATATGTCTTTCCTTATGCCTGTATCACAGAATTTTGATTATTTTACATAGTAGATTTGAAGTCAGATGTGTGAATTCTGTTTTTTTTTTTAAGATCATTTTGGTCATTTAGGATTCCTTGCAGTTACACATAATTTTAGAATTGTTATTTGCTCTAATGCAAAGAACATCATTAGATTTTGTAGGGATTGTGTTGACAATTGCCCATTTTGGAGACGATTGCTGTCTTCACAATATTAAGTGTTCTAATCTGTGACTACCGGATGTCTTTCCATTTATTTAGGTCTTTTTAAATTTTATTCTTTCCAGCAATGTTTTGTAATTTTCTTTGAGGAAGTTGTTTGCCTTTTGGCTTAAATTGATTCCTTAGCATTTTATTCTTTTTGGTGCTATTTTGAGTGAAATTGTTTTGTTAATTTAGTATTTGATTATTTATTGCTACTGTGCAGCAATACAAGTAATTTTTGTGTTAATGTTGTATTCTATAACTTTGCTAAGTTGTTTATTAATTCCAGTAGTATTTGTCAGTTCTGTAGGATTTACTATATATTGGGCCATGTTATCTGTCAATAAAGATAATTTTACTTCTTCCTTTCCAACTTGGATGCTTTTTAATTTTTTTGTCTTAATTCCTCTGGCTTGAACTTCAGCACAGTGCTTAAGTTGTGAAAATAGACTTTGTTTTGTTTCTGATTTTAGGGGGAAAGCTTTCAGTCTTTTCACCAATGAGTATGTGTTAGCTGTTAGTTGCTTCAGTCGTGTCTGACTCTTTGCGACCTTATGGACCCTGTTGCCCTCCAGACTCTTCTGTCCCTGGGATCCTCCAGGCAGGAATACTGGAGTGTCTTTCCGTGCCCTCCTCCAGGGGATCTTCCCAACCCAGGGATCAAACTCGCATTTCTTGCATTGTAGGCATGTTCTTTACTCACTGAGCCACCTGGGAAGCCCATGTCAGCTGTGAGTTTTTATAATTAATGCTCTTTACTGTGCCCTATTGAGGAAGTTCTGTTCCTGGTTTAGCGAGTGTTTTTCACAAAAGGGTGTTGGATTTTGTCAGATGCTTCTTCTATATCAATCACAGGATCATCCCTGCCCCGCTTCATTCTATTAATGTATTGTGTTACTTTAGTTGATTTGCATATGTCAAACCATTGTATTCCTGGGCTAAATCCCACTTGGTCATGGTATCTCATCCTCTTAATGTCCTGCTGTTTTCATCTTTCTAGTATTTCGTTAAGGATTTTTACATCTGTTTTCATAAAGCATATCAGTCTGTAGATTGCTAGTGATATCATTATCTGTCTTTGGTATCAGGGTAGTATTGGCTTTATGTACTACATTAGGAAGTCTGCCTCTTCTTTAATTTTTTGGAATAATTTGAGGAGTAATCTTAATTCTTTAAAGTGTTTGGTAGAATGCACCAGTAAAGCCGTTTCTCCTGCATTTTTAGGATGTGTTGTAAGAGATTAACTGCTGTTAACGTATGTTACTACTTTACCCAGTCTTTAGATCTCTTACCTTAGCATAAAATTTTACTGAAGGAAACACTGATAAAATTGGGGGAAACATTGATAAAATCATCACCCCATTCTACCCCTTGGCTAATACTCCTCCAGATTGTCAAGGTCATAAAAAACAAGGGAAGATTCAAAAACTGTCACAGACCAGAGGACATTAGGGAGACATGACAACTAAAAGTAATGTATCCTGAATGAGATCTTGGAACAGAAAAACAATGTGAATGGAAAAGCTGGTGAAATGTGAGTCAGATCTGGAGTTTAGTTAAAGTAATGTACTGATTTTCAGTTTCTTAATTTTGATATCACGTCACTATAAGATAATATTAGGGGAACCTGAACTGAGTGACGGGTATATGGGAATTCTCTACTGTCTTCACAACTTAAAAAACTATATATATATTCTGGGGCTTCCTTGGTGGTTCAGATGGTAAAGAATCCACCTGCAGGGTGGGAGACCCAGGTTCAATTCCTGGGTTGGGAAGATCCCCTGGAGAAGGAAATAGCGACCCATTCCAGTATTCTTGCCTGGAGAATTCCATGGATAGGGAGCCTGCCAGGCTATAGTCCATGGGGTTGCAAAGAGTCGGACACGACTGTGTGGCTTTCACGTTCATAACTATTCTAAGTAAATTTATTTTTAAAAATGCATTTATAGTTAGGTTGCAGTCAAAAATATACCTTGGGTCTTCTCAAGTTGAAGTCACAAGTCCATATTATTTGGTCACATTTGCAGTATTTCTCTTGTGACTTTGGCTAGAAAACTGAAAATGTGGATTCTTTGCAGAAAAGAAGCATTTTAACTTTTGAAAATATTCTCCTTTGGATTTAGGGGTAGCTCAGGTGGCATGAATCACTGTCTACTATTAGAATTGCCTCAATTTGATTAAAAGATAAATGGTTAAATTTAGAATGGTGGTGGTAGTTTAGTCTCTAAGTTGTGTCCAGCTCTTGCAACCCCGTGGACTGTAGCCCACCAGGCTCCTCTGTCCGTGGGATTCTCCAGGCAAGAATACTGGAGTGGGTTGCCAATTCCTTCTCCAGGGGATCTTCCCAACCCAGGAATCGAACCCGGGTCTCCTGCATTGCAGGCAGATTCTTTGCCGACTGAGCCACGAGGGAAGCCTGCAATTTAGAGGGTTGGTGGTAAGTGTGTTTCTTTTGGTCTTACGTTAGACGCCTTTAGAAGAGTGAACAAATATCCTAGACGGGCTAGTGATTTTTTTTTTTTTTTTTTTGGAAAAAGGTTTTTATAGAAGGGTTGTTGTGTCTGTGAAAATACACATTTGTATGTCAGGATTTGACATTTTGATCTGAAGACTGCTTTGGCAAGAGAAGTAAACTATCTGAACATTTATTTGGGTCTCATTTATTATCCCTTCTGGAGTCCCTTGTAAACCTCTCTTCCCTGAGTTGGTGTCTTACATGGCTATTCCAGAGCCTGTCTCACCTCCCTGTCCTGCACCCCTGGGCTCATTACTCAGCTCAGCTTTTTCTGTCTTTCTCCAGCCTGTCATCCTCCTTCCAGGAGCTGTGAGACAGATTAGGAAGCCTGAAGAACAAATTAGTTTATAATATTCCTTCCTAGCTTTGATATTAGTAATGATAACCACTTCCATTTCTTGATCTTTTGTTAAGAATTAACAGGAATATGTTGCTTATCTTTCATAGAACTTTCCCCTGAAGACTTAGAACAATACAGTCTTTCTGGGAGTATTTGCTATATTTTGTATCTTAAAAAAAAAAAAGAGCAGCCTCACAGGTTTGGCCCTCAGATTTAGATTTGGGATTTCCAGGTTTGGCCCTCAGATTTAGATTTGGGATTTCCAGGTTTGGCCCTCAGATCTAGATTTGATATTATTGTACATAATAATGTGCAGGTACAGGTTTTAGAGTGTCCCTCTGAGACCTTTCATGAACTGAAGTAACATAAAGTGAAGCAGTTGCCTTAGGACACGTCTTGCTAATGGATGCACAAAAATTGAGATAAAGCCCAGATGCTCATAGGCACAGTTGAGAGCTATAGTAGCTTATTGCAGTTCGTAGGAAAGGAGCTTGGTGGCGCCTTTCTCCGCTTGGGGTTGCAGCAGTGAGAATGACTTGCTGCGAAACCAACACAATGCTGTTTTTGCTTTTTGCCTTTTTCAGTAAAAGCAAAAATCCTCTTCAGATTTCCTTGGGTTAGCAAAAACAGATACTAATGTAGGTCTTCCATAAAAATTGTTGTTCAGTTGCTAAGCCGTGTTTGACTCTCTCAGCTGAGAGAACTGCAGCACTCCAGGCTTCCCTGTCCTTCAGTATCTCCCAGAGTTTGCTCAAAGTCATATCCATTGAGTCAGTGATGCCATAAAAATGATGTGGCATAAAGTGAACTTCTGAAAAGCAGGGATACATGTATGTGTGTTTCTGAGAGGAGAAAGAAACCATAGGTTTTGCCTGATTCTCAGTAATTTCTGCTCATTGAAAGGTTAAAAATCATGATTTTGATCCAGTTCCCGAAGTCTAGCAAACAGCTTGAGAGAGGTGAAAAGACTTGTTTGTCAGACTTTTATAAGTATCCAGGTCCCCAATCCCAGATTTTGCACTGTACCACAAATAAAATTATCCAAGGGTTAAATTTCTCATACTTCTATTTTCCTTGTTTGGTCATCCTTTTTTCCCTCCCTCCTCACTTTCCTTTTTGTAGGAAGTATGTCAGATTTATTTGCCTGTGTTTATTTGTGTGTTTGTATTTTGCTTCTTGCCTAGGTCAAGCCATGACTACAGTAGCGGTACATGTGGACTCCAAAGCTGAGCTCACTACCCTGCTGGAGCAGTGGGAAAAGGAACATGGCAGTGGGCAGGACATGGTACCCATTCTTACCAGGTATGACCAATTAAGTGGTTTTTTTTAAAGGAAATTTGGGAATTACCAGGTGGTCCAGTGGTTATTAATTGTGCTTTCATTGCCAGGGGTACAGGTTCAGCACTTGGTTGGTGAACTGAGATCCTGCAAGCTGTGCAACATGGCCAAGAAAGAAAAAAGAAACATTGGAGAATAGTATAGAACATTATCACTTTGGAAATTCTAAATGCATTTTTTTCCCCTGTCAGAATTAGTCTTTATGTCCCTATGTCTTGAAGCTTTTAAAGTTGCTTCCTTTTCTTCTCGGGCCCTTTTGTTGTTGTCCTCTTTCCTAGGTGGTTCTTGCCAGTGTTTTAGCTCCAGAGTTTTGTTGGTGGTTCTCTTCTCTCTTCACCCTAGGTATTTTACCTAGATAGTTTTACCTCTGTCCATGATTTAAAAAATTATTCTCAGTCTCTTTTTCTCAGACTCTTCTTTATAAAAATTTCAGACCCGTTTCTCAGCCGCTTGGTGTATACATCCTTTCCTGGTTGTTCCACAGACACTTGAAATGCACTGTGTCCAAAATAGAGCTTCTTATCATCATCCTGCCTCCCTCTTCGTTCCCAGCAGGTACTTTAGTACTCCCTGCCTTGGTGCAGATGGTTTTAAACCAAAAACTGAAAATCATTCTCCCTAGTGTATTCCTTTCCTAGCACAACCTAATCACTAAGCCCTGAGGATTTCTGCTTCGTCTTCTTTCCCTTCCCTCTCTCTTCGTTTGGTATTGATCATATCTTGGCTGACTTATTAGGCAGTATGCATTACCCCTGTCTCCAGTTTACCCTCTTCTAATACAACATTCTCTCTATGGAAAGATTTATCTTTTTCACACACAAATCTGATTGTCATACCTCAACTCGTAATTCTTTTCTGGCTCCCTTTCCCTGCAAGATGAAATGTAAACTTTTCAGAGTGGCTTATGATGCTGTTTATGATTTGGCCCCTACTTCCTTTTTCTGCCTCATAGTGTTGTTCTTTTTCAGTGAGGAACAGTACCATATTTTCCAGTGTCTGTTTGCCTTTATACTTGCTATTTCTTTGGCCTGAAAAGCCTTTCTTTGGTATATCTGCCTGGCAAGCTCTATTCCTTTCAGGAAGCAGTTCAAGAATCATGTCTGTAAATACCATATGATACCACTTATATGTGAAATCTAAAATATGACACAATATGACCCAAATGAACCTGTCTATGAAGCAGAAATGGAATCATGGACATAGAAAAGCAGACTGGTGGTTGCCGAGGGGAGGGGAGGGGAGGGAGTTGGGGGAGGGGTGGAATGGGAGGTTGGGGTTAGCAAATGTAGTCTTTTATACATAGAATAGATAAACAAAAAGGTCCTCCTGTAGCACAGAGAATTATATTCAATGCCATATGATAAACCATAATGGAAAAGGATATTTAAAGATGGAATGTATGTATGAAGACGTATAACTGAATCACTTTGCTGTACAGTGGTAATTAACATTGTAAATCAACTATTTCGATTAAAAAATTTTTCCCTCATTTTAATTACCACTTGTACTGTAATTATCATTTTACATGTGTCTCCTTACTAAACTGTAAGTTTTCTGATTTTTACTTCTCATTTTTCTTTTATTTTCATTTCTTTTCATTTTTTCATTTTTTTTTTACTTTCTCATTTTTTTACTTCTCATTTTTATTGGTGTCTCCTCGTGTCTCTTCAGACAGTGACTTGCCCTTTGCCTGGTGCTGTGGTACATAATTTTATTGAATGACTGTGTTAAGAAGGAGAGAGAGTGAAAAATAAAGACTAGGGAGGGATGCCTGTGATTTTTGTTAACAGGAAGCATTTGAAACAACAGGCTCTTTAATATCTAATCTTTGATATAACAGAGAAAAAAAATTTGTTTATGCAATGATCTATTCTCTAGGGATAAAAAGAACTATGGTCTTATGAAAGGTTAAACAGGGATAAATGCTTTGTTCATAACTGCTCTTGATAGATTCGAAACATGTGAAAGTACAGTTTTTTATTTTAGGGAAAGGATTTTTGTTGGCTGGTGGAAAGTGTATTTTCATTTGTAGAGGCATTGGAGATTAAGAACTAATCACAAGCTACTTGAGATATAGCCATATGAATTAAAGAATCTTAAATATTGTGCATTTAGCATGTGGATTATTGATGTAATTTTGAAAGGAGGAGAGAGTTATAAATGGTACTGTTCATGGTAGACTCACTAAATTGCTCAAAAAAATGTGTTTTAATGTTTTATTTTTGGGAATTCCCTGGTGATCCAGTAGTGAGGACTCGGCACTTCCATTGCCAAGGGCCCAGGTTCAGTCCCTGGTTGGGGAACTAAGATCCTGCATGGTGTGCAGTGAGGCCAAAAACAAGTAACTTTATTTTCAAGATTTTTTCATATTATTTATCATATTTGCACCTGAACTTTGTCACTATACTGTGGTACTCAGCAGTGCAAAGCCTAAAGTAGAGGAACCCTGTGTACAAGGAGATAACTATCTGGGAGGCAACTAAATGGATCTAAAAAAAGTGGGTAGTGGTACAGAATAGTAGGTAATGAAGTGCTAGCTCTGGCAGATGGTTTGTGAATATTCCAGACCTTTTGTTTATCAGGACAGCTTCTTCATTTGTTACTAAAAGTATCACTGAGAGCCACATTGTTAAGATAGCCATCCTCTGAGCGACTTGAAAAAGACTGCTTGTATAGCCAGGCAGTAGAAAGCTAAGGTTAGGGTACTGGGTTTTAACTCCAAATCCAGTGGGCTTTCCAACATAGGATGTGGTAAAGGTTCCTTGGAACAGGGGCTTGAAAGTTGGTAGAATATATATTGATGAAAAGCAAAGAAGACAAGGTTTTCTAGGAAAAGTGAAAATGTGACTGAAAAAGGTATCTATCTAGGGGAGAATGAACTGGGCATGTTTCTATGGCAGGGAGGAAATGGGCTCCACCAGAGTGCAGGGTGAATATATAAGGTAGGAATGGAAGCTAAAATTACATGGAGCAAGATCGTAAAATATATCTTCAAGGTTAGGCTGAGAATTTAAAGATGCAGTAGGATGAGTTAAAAGTGTGTTTTAGATAGGGGCAAAATGCCTACCATCCTCCAAATTGTGGGTCTGTTGTTAGTTCACTGGTTATTTCCTACAGTGTTTTCTGTAAGAGGTTACAGAAAAACCTGAACGGACATTTTGGCCAGTGCAGTAATTTATAGTTGACCCATGGTTGCTTGAATATGTGAACGTGGAGGGCCAACTGTACTATACCATTTTTATGTAAAGGACTTGACAGTTGAAGGATTTTAGTGTCCCTGGGAGGTCCTGGAACTAATTCCTTACAGATACCAAGCAATGACTGTGTGTTGTATAATGCTCTGATGGATTCTTTCCTTGTAAAATCATCACCTAGATCAACTTATAGAACTTGAGAACTACCTCCAGAAGGCTCCCTCCTGCTGCATCACATCAGTATCTGCCTTAGATTAACTGGTTTTCTATTTTTTTTTTAAATAATAATTTTATTCTTTTATTTTTTGGCTGTGCTGGATCTTCATTGCAGCATGTGAGCTTCTCTTGGGTTGCACCAGCTCTAGGGTGCATGGGCTCAGTAGTTGCAGCTCCCAGGCTCAGTAATTGTGGCGCATGGACTTACAGTTGCTCCGAGTCTTCTGGGACCTTGTGTTCTTCCTGGATTAGGGATGAACCCATGTCTCCTGCATTCGCAGGTGAATCCTTTACCACTGAGCCATTGTGAGGGAGGCCCTATTTGTTCTTTTTTTTCCCCTAATTTGTTTATTTTCAATTGGAGGATAATTGCTTTACAATATTGTGTTTGTTTCTGCCATATATCCACATGAATCAGCCATAAGTATACATATGTTCCCTTCCTCATGAACCCCCCCCATTTGTTTTTGATTGCCAGTTTTCATTGGAACAACACCTAAGTAGCTCTGATGTCAAGCTCTGTTCTAAGCAGAGTACATATATATTAACTTAAACCTCAGGGAAACTCTTAAGATGGGCACTGTTATCCTCATATTACAGGTTAGGCACAGAGAGGGTAAGTAATGAACAAAGTCAAAAACAGTAGAAGAGGTCTGGAGTCTACTATTTTGAGAGTAGAGAGTCCAAAACAGTATGCTCTGGACATTTCTGGTCAAGACTTAATGATTGAAGTCAGGAGATATTTTGTGGGTAGAGCTAATAAGAATTATTGCAGTGGGGAAGGGGAGAAAAAGGAAGGATTTAACCTGGGTTTTTGGCTTCTGAGGGGATAGTAGTGCTATTTTTTGAGACAGGAGAGTTGGAGAGAAGAATGAATTTGGGAGTGGAAATTGTTTTATGAGATGGTTGGTTAGATCTTTATGTTTGTCAGGACAACACTGTCTTTCTAATTTTTTGCTTTTATTTTTTACTTTGACTGTTGTAGGTGGTGGTACGTCTTTTTTTTTTTTGTATGCTTGTCTAGCATTGACCTTGTCTTCCCTTTGTATTAGGATGTCTGAATTGATTGAAAAAGAAACTGAAGAATATCGTAAGGGGGATCCAGACCCATTTGATGATCGACATCCTGGTGAGATCTGTGTTTTCTTAATTCTGGCTCTAATTTTCTTACAAAAGAAAACTGCTTACTATAAGGACTGTTTTTCAGTTGAAATAGAATTTCTTAAAATATTGGTCAAGGTGGGGGCAGCAAGGAAAAATAAATTCATGGAAAAATGGAAATATTTTTAACATTTATCAAGTACTTAAAGGAATTAGATTATATAGATATACCTTATTAGTTGAAATGATTACAAAGATTTAAAAAGAAAAAAAATGTTCTCTCTTTTTGACTTTTGAACCAAAAGATGTTATACTCTGTGTGCCTTCATCTTTCTAACAACAATAATTATCCTTTTACTAATGGGGAAATGTGGTTGAGAATGCATTTAATATCTCTTAGTTATGAAATTGATACTTGGAACCTTGAATAATAAATGGACTTCTTGATGTCTAATGTTCCAAAAGCTAAAATATGCTACCTCAGGTTAATGTGGTTTTCTTTTGGGTCAGTGAGCCACGAAGACCCAGCCTGCTTTGGCGTGGAATTTGCTATAATACAGAACTGTGTGGGACTTGAGACTGCCGTTTTATGTTCGAAGGTAGATTACCAGGGGGCACAACTTAAGTCGTATGGGGCCACACTACATATAAATTTTCTGTTTGTAAAACCAGAAGCAGTTCTTTTTGGAGAGAAGAGACTGAGATGTTGTAACTGGAAAGACAGTGAAATGAGTGGAACTTAATAAAAATAAGGACATTGTATATCTACCTGAATGTACCAGTGTTATACTTCTGTTACTTAGACTTTTATTCCCAAATGTAAATAAGCTAGGCATTTCAGATTGAGTGTCTGGTGGTTATGTGATGTTACCTGCTGCTCTTGTCCTAGACATCCCCACTTGTGACTTTGAGAACGCTTTTGTTTATTGAACTCACATCTTCAGTAAGGCAGAAAGAGCAAGAAAAAGTGGGAAAGTAAAAAGAAGTTAATTCATGGGACTGTGAAAAGAATTAAAAGAGAGGATCATGCTTAGTGATGTTGCCTTGGAAAGGATGCCTTGGAAATGGTAACAAGAAGGGAGAGAAGAATGCCTTTTTTCAGTAGAAATTTAAAGACAATTTATTTCCTCCCTGTCCCTTATATTAAAACATATTTGTCGCTAGGCATAATTTCTTTTAAGAAAAAAAAGGGGTCTTAGTTTCATCATTTATAAACAGATAAAGTTAGGTAATCTGAGGTCCACATTTGTTTTTCTGAGGCTATTCTCTAACTTCTGTTTTGTCAATTACTTTGAGGTGTTAATTACAGCTTGGTAAAAACTTTTTATCAGCAACTTAAAATCTTCACCCTAAATTGTATCCTTTGACTAAACTTGCCACTCTGAAAGGAAAATTAAATAAAATAGATGACACCTGTTTTAAAAGCAAACCAATAATTTTCCCAACGATTAGTGAATTCTTTCATTTTTAGGCTGTATATTGAGTAAATCCTAGGTTCTTGGCCTCCTTTCTCTTTCTAGGAGCTCAGAAGTTAAGATGACCAAGTTTACTTTATCTTTAGCTTGGTGGGACTCCCCTCTGTCTCAAACCTGGCCTGTTGTTACAGGTTTGAGGACATACTACTGCTGCTGTTGGCTTTATAGTTGAGAAACTGGACTTTGGAGACTGTTTTCTCCAGGCCACCCATTAAGAGAAACTATGCTTCCTTCCTTTTTCTCTTTGGGAGGTCAGGCGTTTTTGTTCTCTTAGGATCCTGTATGATTCTTCCATAGACCTTGTATACTCTGAGTGACGCTGGTCTGTGTCTTATGCTCATTTGTTTAATTTGACCTTGATGTATAGACAGTATACTGGGAGATGGGAAGGTTAGAAAGTAGTGTTTGAAGTTTTTCATTGTCTTTTTTTAATTTTAAAGAATGCTTCTAATGAGATCCAGTTCATCAAGAGAATCTTTTCTTCATTTCTGTTAATTTTTGCTGGCCTTTTAATGGTACTTACAACCACCCTGGTTCCTTTGCAGAGGTCTGAGTTGCTTAACTGGGATGACTTACTCATTCCTTTGCTCCTCCCCTCTTCTTTCGGCAGGTCGAGCTGATCCAGAGTGTATGCTGGGCCATTTGCTGAGAATACTCTTCAAGAATGATGATTTCATGAATGCAGTAGGTTTGCTTCTTACTTTTCTCCAGAGATTATCATCAACAGATGCTGTACCTTTATTTTTCTGTAAATAGTCTGCTCTCTCCTGAGGCCTTGACAAAGTTGGGAATAGAGTGGATAGATTTTTTAATCTGGTATTGGTTCAAAGAAATAAGACTAATTATGGACTTCTTTATTACCAAAGTCCTGGCTGTGGCCAAGGTATTTTCTCTTTGGTGTTGAGTTGCATATTGGTGAGGGTTCTTAAGGCATCTGTGCTCATACTGGAGTGAGATGATTTTGAATTTGGGAATATGGAAGTTCTCTTGGAATCCTGAATAGAAAAATTAAGAGTGTTGTGTGCAGCATGCTTCTGCACTGACACTTTGTGTGTGCATGCTGTGCACTGGACATGTGGAGGGAGTAGAGAAAGGAAGGAAAGTTACAGAACCTGAGTTACTTAACTCCGGTCTGTTGAGTAAATGAGGGGGGAAAAGTATGATTTACAGCTCCTAAATGTAGTAGTTCAGTAAATAATTCAGTAAATTATTACATTTGTTTTTGGAGGCAAATAGCATGATACTTGAGAGCATGGGCTTTGGGGTCCACTTTTGGGGTTTAAATGCAGCTCTGCTGTTCTTTGACATTTTGATCTTTCAGCAACTTAAGCCTCTCCAAGTTTTATTTTCCTAATCTATAAAATGGGGATGATAATTATTAACCTTAAAATATTTTTGTAATCCTTGAATGAAATTAAGTCTGAAAATGCTTGGTGTAGAACCTGACACATGAGGGCTCAGTAGTTAACTATCTATATTCTCCGTTTTACTTCTCTTTCACTGGTATCTCTCCTCTGCTTCAGATCACTTCTAACTTGCCTTCTAATCCCCACATGGATATTTCCCATAGGCACCTTGAGTTCTGCATGTCTAATTGCTTGCCCCGTAGTCTGTTTTTCTTATTCTCTAGCTCAGTAATGGTGTCCTTTCCTAACCAGCTAGAAGTTCCTTTGTTCCTCTAGCCTTTGTGCATTCTCAGTCCTGTCTGATTCATCTTAGCAACCCCGTGGATTGTAGCCCACTGGGCTCCTCTGTCCTTGGGATTTTCCCAGCAAGAATACTGAAGCAGGTTGCCGTTTCCTCCTCCAGGAGATCTTCCCGACCCAGAAATTGAACCTGCATCTCTCGAGTCTCCTGCATTGGCACCTCCTGATTCTCTACCACTGGCGCCACCTGGAAAGCCCCCTTTATTCCTCTCTGCTCTCTTATTCAGTGAAGTTATAGGTCTTATGGGTCCCTAACCCCTAAGCCTTCACAAATCCCTTGACTTCTTTCTGCCCTTGTTCCCAGACCTTAGGCTAGCCAACACACCGTCTCTCTCTTGGTACTGCAGTAGCCTCTTAATTGGTTTCTCATCTTGTCTTCCTCCAACCCATTCTTCACTTATAGTCTGGAAATCTTAATCAAATGTAAAAAAGTGATCATGGCACTCAACTGTCCTGCTTAAAGTGCATTAGTGGTTCCCATTGCTCTCACGATGAACTTTAAATTTCTTATTTTGGTTTATAAACCTGTTTGTCATGGCCTTTGTTCTTTCAGTGTTTAGTTCTTGCCCTTTGCCTCCTTTCCTTTTCACCCCTCATTAGCTGTTCCTCTTTGTCCTTCATGTTCTTGCTTGGAGCCCCTTCCTCTCTGCAGCCTTCTCTGATTCCTTTGCAAGGTTTATAATCGCCTCCAGGTTTCTGTAGCATCCTGTATTTATGATACTTGTCTTTCCCAGCTGTCACCTTTTTTGGGTTATGAACCTTTTGTTGATGGAACTATATCTTATCCACTATTGTATATCCAGTAACAGAACACAGTGCCACTTAGAGATCCAGTGTTTTTTTAATCTGATGAGTGCCAAAAAGAAAGCATTATTAATATATTTATATAAAAAACTCAAAGTTTTTTCATTAATAATTGTCAAGAATCAGGGAGGGGTGAGGGGAGGCTTGTCTTGCCCTGTTTTATCCTTCTGAAAAAGTATAAGGATGGGAGACGATTTTTTTGGGATAACTCTTGAGTTTTAATTTCTGTGGTTGCTGAGTTGTTGTTTGAATGGAATTTGACTTTAAAGTGTCCGAAGAACTTGTATGGTATCATGGCGTAGCAGAATCATAATTATTTACAGTAGTTACAGATTTAGTTAGTAATGTTAGGTATAGTCTTACAGTCTTCTTTAATATTCTTTAGGCAAGCTATGGGAATATGGTATGGATTTATTAGACTTCATTAATTTGATTGGGTTGAATTTCAGATGAAAAGTATTGCTCTTCTTTACAGCTGGTGAATGCATATGTGATGACAAGCCGAGAGCCCCCTTTAAACACTGCAGCTTGCAGACTCCTACTGGACATCATGCCCGGGCTGGAAACTGCTGTTGTCTTTCAAGAAAAGGTACTTAGCAAAAAGAAAAGTCATTGTTTTATTAAATTTTCAAAAAAATGTTTGTTTGTTGGTTGCGTCAGGTCTTGTCCATGGTCCGTGGTCCATGGGGACCCCCCATTGCGTCGTGTGGGATCTTCCGTTGCAGTACACGAACTCTCATTGTGGCTGGTGGGCTCAGTAGTTGTGACTCTCGGCCTCAGTTGCTCTGCAGCGTGTAGAATCTTAGTTTCCTGTTCGTGTGTGTGTGAGTTGCTCAGTTGTGTCAGACTCTTTGCCACCCCATGAACTGTAGCCTTCCAGGCTCCTTTGTTGGTGGAGTTCTCCAGGCAAGAATACTGGAGTGGGGATCCATTCCCTTCTCCGGAGGATCTTCTCAACCCAGGGATTGAACCTCGGTTTCCTGCGTTGCAGGCAGATTCTTTCCTGTTTGAGCCACCACAAAGCCCCTTAGTTTCCTGACCAGCGATCAAGCCTGCATCCCCTGCATTGCTTGGTGGGTTCTTAACTACTGGACCACCAGGGGGAAGTCCCATCATTTTATTATTTAATTGAATGGTGCTCTGTTTGATTTTTCTTTATTAAAATAATTGTCATAGTCTTTTCTTATTATATTTTATTATAGTAGTAATTTATATTATAAAAACTTAAGAAATCAAGAAAAAAGTAACTATTTAATGAGTACTTAAATAGTACTCGCTGCTTATGTGTACAGTATTTTTAAAATCTTAAGATCTTATGTTTTTAGAGTAGATTTTTGATCCTATCCAAACTTTTTTTTTAATTTATAAAATTTTTAAAAATTGTTTTTTTACGATGTTGTGTTAGTTTCTGTTGTACAGCAAGATAATCATATCTTGCTGTGTATGCATATAGTCACCCTTTTTTAGATTTTCTTTCCATTTAGGTCACCATAGAGCATTGAGCAGAGTTCCCTGTGCAATACAGTAGGTTCTCATTAGTTATCTATTTTATATATAGTAATATGTCATATAGTATATATGTCAATCCCAGTCTCCCAGTTCATCCCACCTTCCCCTTTCCTCCTTGGTAACTGTAAGTTTGTTTTCCACATCTGTAATTTGTGACTCTGTTTCTGCTTTGTAGATAAGTTCATCTGTACCATTTTTCTAGATTCCACACATAAGCTATGTTAGCCTTGTCTTTCTCATACTGACTGACTTCACTCTGTATGCCAGTCTCTAGGTCTATTCCTGTTGTTGCAAACGGCATTATTTTAGTCCTTTTTATGACTGAGTTATGTTTCATTGTATACATGTACCACATCTTCTTTATATCCTCTGTTGATGAATGTTTAGGTTGCTTCCATGTCCTGGCTATTGTAAATGGTGTTGCATCGCAGTGTGGGTGTCCTTTTGAATTACGGTTTTCTCTGGTTATATATCCAGGAGTGGGATTGCTGGCTCATATGGTAGCTCTATTTCTAGGTTTTTAAGGAACCTCCATATTCCATAGTGGCTGTACCAATTTACATTCCTACCAACAATGTAGGAAATTTCCCTTTTCTCTACACCCTCTCCAGCATTTATACTTTATAGATTTTTGATCATGGCTGTTCAGACCAGTGTGAGGTGATACCTCATTGTAGTTTTGAAAAAATATTTATTTATATTTACTTATTTATTTGGCTCTGCCGGGTCTTAGTTGTGGCATGAGGGGTCTTCAGTCCTTAGTTGCGGCATGTGGGCTCTGTGGTTCTGAGTTGTTGTTTGAAGGGAATTTGACTTTAAAGTGGCAGAAGAACTTGTATGGTATCATCATGGCATAGCAGGATCATAATTATTTCCAGTAATTATAGATTTAGTTAGTAATGTTAGGTATAGTCTTATAGTCTTCTCTTGCTTTCAGTCTTTACCAGCATCAGGGTCTTTTCCAATGAGTCAGCTCTTCCCATCAGGTGGCCAAAGTATTAGAGCTTCAGTGTATCAGTGCTTCCAGTGAATATTTAGGATTAATTTCCTTTAGGATTGACTGGTTTGATCTTGCCATCCAAAGGACACTCAATTCTCTTCTCCAACACCACAGTTCAAAAGCATCAATTCTTCAGTGCTCAGCCTTCTTTATGGTCCAACTCTCACATCTGTACATAAATACTTGAAAAGCCATAGGTTTGACTATATGGACCTTTGTCAGCAAAGTAATGTCTCTGCTTTTAAATAAGCTCTCTAGGTGTGTCATAACTTTTTCTTCCAAGGAGCAAGCATCTTTTAATTTCATGGCTGAAGTCACTGTCAGCAGACATCAGGAGCCCAGGAAAATAAAATCTGTCACTGTTTATACTTTTTCCCCATCTATTTGCCATGAAGTGATGGGACCGGATGCCATGATCTTAGTTTTTTGAACGATGAGATATAAGCCAGCTTTTTCACTGTCCTCTTTCACCCTCATCAAGAGGCTGTTTAGTTCTTCTTCACTTTCTGCCTTTAAGGTGGTGTCATCTGCGTACCTGAGGTTATTGCAGCTTGTGCATTATCCAGCCTGACATTTCGCATGATGTACTCTGATGTACTCTGCATGTAAGTTAAATAAGCAGGGTGACAATATACAACCTTGATGTACTCCTTTCCCAATTTGGAACCAGTCTTTGTTCCATGTCTGGGTCTAACTGTTGCTTCTTGACCTGCATGCAGGTTTCTCAGGAGGCAGGTAAGGTGGTCTGGTATTCGCATCTCTTTAAGAATTTTCCATGGTTGCGATCCACACAGTCAAAGGCTTTAACAATGTCAATGAGACAGAAGTACATGTTTTTCTGCAATTCCCTTGCTTTCTCTGTGATCCAGTGGATGTTGACAATTTGATGCCTTTTCTAAATCCGGCTTGTACATCTGGAAGTTCTTCATTCATGTACTGTTGAAGCCTTGCTTGGAGAATTTGGAGCATTACTTTGCTAGCTTGTGAAATGAGTGCAATTGTGTGGTAATTCGAACATTCTTTGGCATTCCCCCTTTTTGGGATTGAAATGAAAACACATTTTCCAGTCCTGTGGCCACTGCTGAATTTTCCAAATCTGCTGACATATTAAGTGGAGCACTTTCACAGCATCATCTTTTAAGATTTGAAATAGCTAGCTGGAATTCCATCACCTCCACCAGCTTTGTTAGTAGTAATGCTTCCTATGGGCCACTTGACTTCATTGTCCAGGTTGTCTGGCTCTCGGTGGGTGATTACACCATCTTGGTTATCAGGGTCATTAATACCTTTTTGTATAACTCTGTGTATTCTTGCCACCTTTTCTTAATATCTTCTGCTTCTGTTGTATCTATACCATTTCTGTCCATCTTTGCATGAAATTTTCCCTCGGTATCTCTATAATTTTCTTGAAGAGATCGCGAGTCTTTCCCAGTCTCTTATTTTCCTTTATTTTTTTGCATTGTTCACTTAAGAAGGTTTTCTTATCTTTCCTTCCTATTCTTTGGAACTCTGCATTCAGTTTGGTATATTTTTCCTTTTCTCCTTTGTCTTTTGCTTCTCTCCTTTTCTCAGCTATATGTAAGGCCTCCTCAGACAACCATTTTGTCCTGCTGCATTTCTTTTTCTTAGGGATGGTTTTAGTCACCACCACCTATGCAGTGTTAGGAACCTCCGTCCATAGTTCTTCAGGCACTCTGTCTGTCAGATTAATCCCTGGAATCTATTTGTCACTTGCACTGTATCGTTCTAAGGGATTTGATATAGGTCATACCTGAATGGCCTAGTGATTTTCCCTACTTTCTTCTATTTGAGCCTGAATTTTGCATTAAGGAGCTGATGGTCTGAGCCACAGTCAGCTCCAGGTCTTGTTTTTGCTGACTATATAGAGCTTCTCCATTTTCAGCTGCAAAGAATATAATCAGTCTGATTTCGGTATTGACCATCTGGTAATGTCCATATGTAGGGTCATCTCTGGTGGTGTTGGAAGAAGGTGTTTGCTATGAACAGTGTGTTCTCTTGGCAAAACTCTGTTAGCCTTTGCCCTGCTTCATTTTGTACTCCAAGGCCACACTTACCTGTTACTCCAGATATATCTTCTACTTTTGTATTCCAGACCCTTATGATGAAAAGAACATCTTTTTTTGGTGTTAGTTCTAGAAGGTCTTGTAGGTCTTCATAGAACCGTTCAGCTTCAACTTCTTTGGCATTAGTGGTTGGGGCGTAGACTTGGATTACTGTGATATTGAATGGTTTGCCTTGGAAGTGAACCGAGATCACTTTATAGTTTTTGAGATTGCACCCAAATACTGCATTTTGGACTCTTTTTTTTTTTTTTTGGACTCTTTTTGACTATGAGGGCTACTCCATTTCTTCTAAGGGATTCTTGCTCACAGTAGGTATAATGGTCATCTGAATTAAATCCACCCATTCCCATCTATTTTAGTTCACTGATGCCTAAAATGTTCCCTCTTGCCATCCTCTGTTTGACCACTTCCAATTTACCTTGATTCGATAGCCTGACATTCCAGGTTCCTATGCAATATTGGTGTTTATAGCATTGACCTTTTCTCTCATCGCCAGACACATCCCCAACTGGGCATCGTTTCCACTGTGGTTCAGCTTCCTCATTCCTTCTGGAGCTGTTTCTCCGTTCTTCTCAGTAGCATATCGGACACCTGCTCACCTGCTGGAGGGTTCCTCTTTCAGTGTCAAGTCTTCTTGCTTTTTCACCCTGTTCATGGGGTTCTCAGGACAATGATGCTGAAGTGGTTTGCCATTTTTTGTCCCGTGGACCACGTTTTGTTAGAACTCCCCACCTTGACCCGTCCGTCTTGGGTGGCCCTACATGGCATGGCTCGTAGTTTCACTGACAAGGCTGTCATCCATGTGATCATTTTGGTTAGTTTTCTGTGATTGTGGTTTTCATTCTGTCTGTGCTCTGATGGATGAGGATAAGAGGCTTGTGCAAACTTCTTATAGGAGGGACTGGCTGTGGGGAACACAGGGTCTTGTTCTGGTGGGCATGCTCAGTAAATCTTTAGTTCAATTTCCTGCTTATGGGTGGGGCTGTGTTCTCTCCC